CAAAGCTACTATGATAGCAATAAGCATGCTTGAGTAGAGCTTGACACACGTTAACTCACGCCGCGGCCATCTTGTTGAAAAAAAAAAAGGCATAAAATGAACCATTGGTCCAATAACACATTGCTACCTAGTCGACCGTTCTCTGAGGTTTGTTTTCATGATAATCGAATGTAAAGAGTTTTATCTCTAAAAACTGTTTAGCGTATAACGCTAGTATATAGGGGATAGAGTAATGAAAAAAAAAAAAAATCGCTAGTTAATACCATTAACAAGGCTCAAAATAGCCCCACACTAACAGAGTAACATATTGAGGGTCCCTACATGCAAACCGAAGCATTGAGAACTTTGTAAGTGTACAGACAGTTTAATAAGAAGATATTTTAAAAAGACAGTCCACTTCGCTTATACAGGCAGGAGCCATCTTTGGAAAACAGTCTCGACCAGTCAAACCACGAACGCCATGCCAAGTGAGCTGGTCAATCGGAATTATGTTTGTGAAATCTAATTACATGGAAATGCATGAATATCTGTTTAAAGTCTGCACTGGCTAGGGAGAGGGAGGTCAAGAGGTTTTTCGGTCTTTCATGCAGATCAATGAGCAGCTGTCGATGCAAACTAAAACCACGCAATATTTGCTCTATATATCAGAAATAATTGCACCGATTTAAAACAACTTGTCTAGTGCACTTACTCAGTGGATAACTGTCCATATGGTCCCTCCGGTATCGGGTCGCCGCCTCCAATTTATTTTCGGGACATGGAAAAAAGTTTCAAGTACAGCCTTCAAGTAAAGTTTCAAGTACAGAGCGGGGAAATCTTCAGACTGTACAAAACAATGCGTCTCTTGGTTGTCGCGACTCAACAGGTCCCGCTCCGTGCAACACAGGCACTCCTGTTCGATGTCCATAGCTTCACAATGTCCGCAGGTACACCACTAGTTTCCCGAAGTACGAGGCTGTGTTGCGGCATTGACCACTGGCAGCTCTCACTCCCTCTCTCGTAGCCCTTTCACGGAGCTCCTGCAGCTCTTCGTCAGTATATTCCGGCGCAAAAAGATAAGACCCTCCATCAAACATAAACGGTTCGTCGGTTGAATAATCCGCCATCTCTTTAGTGTGTATTTTAAGTCTCCTTTTAATTTTTTTTTATTATTTTCTCTGTTGCGCTCAGTGCTTTCTTCCGGAAACAACCATAGACAGTAAAGGGGAAACAACAGACCATTTGAGATTACAAGTCACAGTTCAGCTAACTTGGCACGGCGTTCGTGGTTTGACTGGTCGAGACTGTTTCCCAAAGATGGCTCCTGCCTGTATAAGCGAAGTGGACTGTCTTTATAAAATATCTTCTTATTAAACTGTCTCTACACTTACAAAGTTCTCAATGCTTTGGTTTGCATGTAGGGACCCTCATTATGTTACCGTGTTAGTGTGGGGCTATTTTGAGCCTTGTTAATGGTATTAACTAGCGATTTTTATTTTTCATTACTCTATGCCCTATATACTAGCGTTATACGCTAAACAGTTTTTAGAGATAAAACTCTTTACATTCGATTATCATGAAAACAAATCTCAGAGAACGGTTGACTAGGTATCAATGTGTTATTAGACTAAAGGTTCATTTTGCGCCGGAGTTGACCTTTAAGTCAGTCTCAGATAGCCTGTGGGGGGTTTGGAGGGGCAGGACAATATGTGTTAATGTTCCTCTTTCATATGGAGAGTGTCGGATAGCCAGCCTGATGAGCAGGCAAAGGCACAATTCTTTTAAGGATAAATCTCTCAATGTGTCCAAATGTAGCCCCTATATCTTATTAAATTATAAATATTGTAGTTTATTTATTGTATTTAAAGTTTTTAACACAAAATTTAAAATGAAGTGTTAAATCCAGTTGTTTAAACTGGTTTTGTAGAGTTTTAGAATGTTTGAGCAGTGTGTATGATTGTCAACAATCTGGCATTATCTAAACATGAACTGTTGACGAAACGCATTCATGCCAAGAAACGAATGTGAGTGATCAGTAGATAGAGAGCTCTTTTATTCGCGATCAGCCTCGTTTCAGTGAGTTGGTGGAATTCGTAAGGTGAATTCAACGAGGCATGCTGTGTCTTTGAAGCAACAAAGGGTAAATAATTTGTTACAGTTTTTTTTTTGTGATTTGTATGGATGACACACAACGACATATACAGTATTATTCACTGTATGATGTGTTTTTACCCTGAAATGTTTAATTTCGGGAGAGACCCGGCGTGCGCAGTGAGGGAGATGAAATAAACTTGCTAAAAAGAGATCCAGCGCGAGAGAGAGGCAAAGAAAAACGCATGTTCTTAACCCATAAGAACCCGGACCAATTTCCCCTTATAGGAAAATTATGGGGGACATAAAACAGACTAAATGGACTACTTAAAACATGTTTCAGCAGTTTTAAAAAAAAAATACAACCACTCCTTGTCAAAGATCTGTAATGTGACGTATATGTCACATTGGGCGTTTATGATGCATTTTTTAATGTTTACATATGTCACATTGGGCTTTTATGTCTATTTAAAAAAAAAAAAAGTTTTGTTTTGTTTTCCACAACATTTTCAAAATTATGACTTTTCTGGGAAGATAAAAAAAAAATCTTTTACTTTTTCAGAAGTAATACAGTTTTAGCATTTTATTTGCTTTGCCACATGTTTCAAAACCACATAAACTGTGACCATTCAATTTTACAAAAACTCTTTTGTAACATATCAAAATTTTACCTTTCAGGTATACAGTTTAACCAGAAATAAATTAATTATTTTTTCTCTACTCAAAAATGTGCAAACTGAATAAACATGTTGGACAAGCATGTAGTGCATTAACATTGCAAAATTCTACTTTTTCAGGTAAACGTTTTAACCAGAAATACTTTTTTATTATTATTTTATCACAACTTGAAAATGTGCAAACTAAAAAAAATATATATATATAACTACCTCACACTGGAGGTCAACATGTTGGACATGCATGTAGTGCATTAACATTGCAAAATTCTACTTTTTCAGGTAAACGTTTTAACCAGAAATACATTTTTTTTATCACAACTTGAAAATGTGCAAACTGAAAAAAAAATAAAAAAAAATATTAAAGCTGCAAGCAGCATTTAGCGGTGTTCAAGCAGTTAAGGCCTTTAAGGCCGTTAAGCACAAAAGCATCAAAAGATATTAAGTTTTATTTAGCATACATTTAACCACTGACATAATAGATGGAAAAGACCATTTACAGCCAATACAGCCAATACAGGCAATTTTCCATAGGAAATATATGGTTTTAAATAGGGATGTCCCGATCCGATACTCAGGATCGGTATCGGCTCCGATACTGCCATTTTTGCGGGATCGGGTATCGATCAGACGAGGCCGATCCAAATCCGATATTGTGGGTATACTATTATGTGTTATTGTTAAGCCCCACAAAAGGCACAAAAACTAAAGTACCATAACGTTTTCGTGCACTCTATTATAAGTGTTCTGAAGCCATTATGTGAGATATAAATTAATATTTAAGTCATTAAATTCAAGATCACGTAAACTTTTCCCTCTCGCGGCTGTCAGTCAATCTCCATTCAGCATTCAAACAGCGCGTCGTGTTCGGTTACAGTCAATGATGAAACTATCTTCAAGATGATTCAATGTTAATACTATTATACTTGATCTGTAACATAAAGGTCTATGTTTTCGCATAAAACAACTTTATCTTGCTGGACTTTATTGCTGTAACTCAATCGTGTTACTCTCTATACCGGGTGTCGGACGCTGTCGGTTTGATCACAACACTAGAGTCAGAGCACTATAATTGTTCTTCACGCGCACAGTAACTGAAATTTAAAACTGTTAAAAGAAAAGGCTCAATAAACGATTGCATAGATAGATACTGTATAATACACTGTCCATCAATATGTATCTCCGTTGTGCTTTGAACTTTTCAAAGCGGACTCGACGCGCTGCGTGCTGTAACTCCACGTGGCTTCAAGCGCATCATTCTCCGCTCGGGATGCGCATACGCGCTTTGTGCCGCACTGTATTGAAGCCTTTCATATCATAATGCAGTGACGCAATTAAAGCTTATTAACATTAATAATTATTAATGTTGCTGCCTCATTAAATAGCTGTGCAATACACTTAAAACATGTCTCAATTTTATAGCAGATTTAGCTATATCTAAAATAATTATCTTTTTCATTTTTGTTATCTTGTTTTTCATGAATGTATTTTACAACAATAAAAAGAGCAATGTGTATTATCCACTAATCTAGTTTATAATAGCATTTTTGTCATAGATTATTTGGGGATTTGTTGTTTATCTTTATAATGAAGCTGTCTGTATTAAGTAGATTGTGTTTAACACACACAAGAGTGATAATCAGTTTAACACACAGTTATAGAAATTCTACTAAAAAGAAACTGTACTGGTATTTACAATGTAGAATGCTGCTGTTTAAATTGTTTTAACTTTAAACCTGTTGGTAGCTAGCTAGCTTTAAGTACTGAAGTACCTGTATTTTCTTTCATTTATATATTTCTTTATTTTTTTGTAGTGTTTGAATAAAGGGTGGCAATCTTTCATAATCAACTGTTGTTGTGGACTATATAGGAGGTATATTTTAGGTGGCTAATTGAGAAAATTGCTATATTTTTTATTAGTTTAAGAATAAAATAAAAATATCGGATTAATATCGGTATCGGCAAAAGCCAAAGCTGAGGCATCGGTATTGGTATCGGAAGTGAAAAAGTGGTATCGGGACATCCCTAGTTTTAAAGCTTTTTAACAGTTATAGCGCCACCTATGGTCCGATCTCCATGAATCTTTGCATGCTTCTTCACCATGTTTTGACACATAAGCTTCTCAATTTTTGTGACTACTAACTAATCTTTTTTTTTAACTAACTAATTTATCTTTCTTTTTAACTTTTTTTCTTTCTTTCTTTCTAACTTATCTTTCTTTCTTTCTAACTAATCTATTGATCAACATTTAAAGTACTTTAAACTTTTAGCTACTTTAAACTTCAAAGTCTCATGTCCGGCTTTTTCAAGCCAACTTAAAGTTTGTTTCAAACTTTTTTTTCTAGTTTCATGTTCATATTGGAGCCTAATGTTGAATCATTGTAGTCACATGGATTATTTTAATGATTTCCTTTGGGGAAAGTAAAATTTTAAAACTATTTAAGCATGTTTACAGTGACACAGTTGCATATAAATTGTTTTGTAGATAAAAGAAATGTTATGTATGTTTTGTGAAGATATGATTATTGTTTTTAGCACTGGGGTCCTATTGCTTTGTTGAGTTTGTCTATTTTATTTACCACAAGTAAAGTCGATTATTATGTCATTTGAAGATAGTTTTATGAAATGATTGGTTATCATTGTATCAGATAAGAGCGACATATAAAATGTGCAGAGAATTTGATCCTCAGGATTAGGGCACAGAACTAGTGATACAGTTATTTTAAATAAATAAATAAATGATATGATAGAGTTTATCCCAACCCTGATTGATAATTGTCTCCCTAATCAAATACACCAGATTCAACTCATCTGCTCATTATCACATGGGTTAATGAGCTAATGAGTTGAATCTGGTGTGTTTGATTAGGGAGACAATTATCAATCAAATGTAAAAGCAGAAGCAGGTTTTCAGCTAGTTTACAGCAAGTAGAAAATGGCTTCCACTTCAACAGCCAAAAAATTTAAGAGTGATTACACTGAGTCAGTTTGTGGATACATCCACAATGTAAGTGCAATAAAAACTTCACTTCGAACTGGTTATAAGTTTTTCAATGCTGAGTTCCAAGTGAACAGGGATGAGTGCCATGATGTCGTTGTGTTTGCGGTTGAAAAACGAACAGCTTTTGTTCAAGCTAACAGGAATCAGAGTCCTGTCAAATTGGACCGGATAGCACGGAGAGTTAGTGAGTATCTATTTCGTCATGAAAATATTTAAGTGTTTTTCTAATGTTACTGATTAGTTAAATGATTGGTAATGTGATTGTTTGCATAGGTAAGAATGGCAGTGAATATGACATTCACTGTGGTACCTGTACAGCTATTTCTGTGGTGGTAGATCTTGGTTATCCATTTAAATTCCCATCATTGAAAGTGAAGACCATAGCTGAGGTGAAAAACATGGCTCCAAAGCAGAATGTAAGTGATTTATTTTGTGTTATGTGTATTAATGTGGTTAAGTTGTGATCATTTGTGTACATCAGTGGTTCCCACACATATTTTTTTATGCTGGTGTACAGCAAAAACTCCAGTGGTAAATTAACTCTCCTGGGAGTTTAAGTGTTAAAGTGTTAAAATATGAGTGTTAAATTAAGTCAAGAGTGTTAAAGTTAATGAGCTAATTAAGTGATTAATTGAGTGCTGATTGATCATTATTGAAGACACCTGATGTTAACAAGCAGAATCATCAAAGGAGAAAATGTATTTTAAGACACCGTTATAGTTATCAGTGTTTGCTTTATTTGGGCTTTTGATCCTTTAATCATTAACTTTAGATTTTGTTTGGCCCCCGAAAAAAAGATTTTGTTTTATCAGAACAACTTTTAAGAAATCCTTTTGATCAGTGTTTCTCAACCCTGTCTTGAAGGACCCCGAACACTGCATGTTTTCTTTGTCTCACTAATCAAACACACCTGATTCAACTTATCAGCTCATTAACCCATGGTTACTGGACACCTAAAAATGTAACTTCCTCCATCTCAGTAAAAACCAATGCAATTAATTTTTTTGTAATAGACATTTTAATTTTGTATTTTGAGAGAATTTGATGTTACTTTAATCTTTGCCATTGAAAATAATACTTTTTTTTTTTTTAAATACTTCCTCAATTATTGTGGTTTTTCAGATTAATTTAGAGACTAGGCCTTTAAAATTTTCTTTGAAGTCAGATTAGCGCCATCTGTTTTGGAAAATTTAATAAATCATGTTATTTCATGGGTTCACCACTAGATGCCTTTATAGCTCTCTATGGAGAGGCTTGTGAATTTTCTAGTTGATTTTGAACCAAATTACTTTTAAGATGTGGATTTGAAATTAGTTTTTAAAAATTCTCTAATACTTGTTGCCAAGGTTTATATTTATTTTTTTATAAATTGAATGTGAAGTGTACACTCTTTTGCATTATTACTACAGTTAAACCCGAATACAGAGAAAGCATTTTGTTACAGGTTACATTAGCCTATGATGTTTTAGTGTCACCCCTTCATTGCATTGTGGCAGATTTGTAGAGTTTGATTTTTTTTTTTTTTTTTTTTATTTCCCTTCATTTCCTATGGTCGGTCTTTTAAAAAAAATCATAATTTGTAGATTGTACACAGAAAAATGTCCCATTCATTATTTTAAATGTTTTTTTTTTCTGTCGTACAGAACAAAACATGTATGATTATGTAGTAGATGTTGTCTTTTTGCATTTGTGTGCATAAGTAAATAAAGACTTTTTGTTTTAGGTTGCTGCTGTCCAGGTGAAAGCGGTTTATGTTGGTTCTGCAAGTGGAACTGCTCCAATCAATGGAGTACCAGTGGACATGCAGACTTGCTATGTGGCTGATCACACCAGTCGTATTAAGCTGAGTCTGTGGGAAACCCAAGTGGGAGCGCTGGTGCATAATAAAATGTACGAAATTACCAATGTCTACACTAGGGAGTTTGAGGGTGGTTTTTATTTGACAGCCACTCGATTTTCCCAATTTAAAGAATTGGTAGCTCTTTCTGCTTCGGCCGTAGATACTCCTTTTACAGTTGATGAAGGGGAAATTACAACAGTGACAGCTGAGATTAGTGGTGTCGAGGTCAGTATCCGGCGCTGCTGTATGAAGTGCCGTGCTTGGCAGGCTGATTTTAATTCCAAAGCAAAGTTTCATCGATGTGTAAAATGTGGGCTGCTACAAAAGATTATCAGTTTTCTGCCAACTGTCACAGCAAAAGTCTCTGTGTCAGGTGACTTTGGGGATGATGAATTTAAATTGTGCAATTCAGTTTTGAGAAATCATTTGGATGAAGAGGGATTGTGCAACTTGCTGTTGGATGCACAGAATGTCGAGGAATATTTGCTGGAAATGGGGATCTGTTTACTGAAGTTGCAGAATAGTGTAGTCATTGCATTGAGCAAGGTGAATAATGATAAGGCTGAAGCTGAACCTGAAGATTTGTTTGGAGAGGCAGCCAGTCTGCTTGAAGGTGAGATGGAAATGGCTGAGATGGCTGAGACTGTGTTAGGTGAAGCTAATAGTTTGCTGGACCAACCGGTCTCAAGTGAAACAAGTGAGCCATCTGAAAGTGTGAAGGAGTAATAATGTTTATGGGATCCTTTATTTTAAACAGACCAATTGCTGTTCATTTATTTATTGTTTTTTTCATTTAGGATGTTTGTTTTTCCCAGTTGAACATAAAAAAAAAGTCAATTTATTTTTAAGCGGGGCATTACTATTTGCTAAGTTTGTTTTGAACATGCTCATGTATAAACATTTATTTTTTTATTAATATACTTTATTTTCATAGAAGCATTTTCTGGATATTAGTCAAAGTAATTGGAAATTGTAATGCCTTTTTTATTTAGTTTTTTATGCGCAAATATTTGCGTTTATGTAAAATTGTGTTAGAATTTCTTTTTGATAAAAAGTTTAGAAAAACACTAATTTTGTTTAGTAGCCTATGCCAAACTTTTGATGATGCATGTTATTTCATTTAAAGCCCAATATAGTGTTTAATGTATTTATTTTAAGGTGATCTTTTAATAAATTGTGGGCATTGTTTTATTGTACTGCATTTACAACAATTTAATTGTTTCAGTAAATGTTTCTTTATAATTTCAGTTTTTGTGGTGTTTCCATAGTACCAGTATGAAGAGGGTGTAATGTTTGGGGGGAATGCATGGAAGCAATTTATGTAGTCTATCGTGTGTCTTGTAAGGCAGCGTACATGGCAATGATGTATGTAAGCATAATGTAATGAGGTATGGCGTTCCAATCGGCTCTATTATATAACTTTGCAACATTCACTCATGTCAATGAACGTCTCACTTAACGTTCACTAACGTAGTTTTTATTCTGCTGTCTATTTCATTCAATTTAAGACGCAGACGTCACGTAAATCACGTGTGGCAGTGAAATGTTGAGTAAGATGTTATGCGTCATTCACTTGTGGCAGTGAAGTTAAAAATATATATATCTCTAAAACGTATGGCAATACGTTAGTCAGCACGGCTGCACAATTAACAATTAGTCAGTTTCTGCACAATTAACTTTCCCTTCACTAATTCCTCTCACTAAACGTATGTCTGCGGCTGTTATATTTATGTGTGTTCTTGTTTAACCCACAATTTGAGGGCCAAATGCCTCCCACAAAGAAATATGGAAGACATTTGATATAGGCTATTACATTTTTATAGCTTATTGTTGGTTTGTGTTTATCTTTTATAAAGTGAATAGGCCTAGGCTACAGCATTTTGGTATAGCCTACTAAACATCAGTGGTTGCCAACTCCATCTTGTCAACTGGTTATGAGATTGGTTCTGTAAATAGATGAATAGAACAGGATAAAAAAAATAGCCCATTATGTCTGGTAATCGAATTTATACAACTACAATCTGAAAACATAACTATTAGGCTATAAACAAAACATTTTTTGTTTTATAGCCGGGTCGGCAAGTAAGTTTGGCATCGGCCCCAAAAAAATAGTCAAAGCTAAATTAAGAAATTAATTGATGAAAAATTTAATAACAATTGCTTGTTACAGTGTCTTTTGGAACTGTTATTGAGCTTTTACTCAATTGAGCTGTTAATTCCTGTAGGACAGTCATTAACAAAAATCCACATTTGTGTCCGGGTTTTACGCTGGATAAATTAATAAAGCAGTAATTATTGTAGAATATTCAATATGTTTATTTATAGAATATTGAATAGGTTGTGATTATTGTCTAAATAAATCCACAATGTTTTCGGGGGTGACGCTGCCAATAACACACATAAAAGCTGTCACAAAGAACCGGCAAAATTAGTGATTATGAATGTTTCAAATGTAGCAAGGAGACATTTTAATTGTTTATTAATAGGAACTAGTGTTCTCTGTGTCGATGTTGGCTTCAATTGTGACCCCAGGGAATGCGCCTAAAGAGAAATGCACATTTCGGATTACAAATGTAGCCTAAACATTAGTCTTTTTTTTTCCTTTGGAAATGTTTTGTTTAGAACTAGACATTTCAAGCTTATATATATATTTCTAGTGCTGCGAGGCAGCTTATAGCTACGCTGAGTTTCAATTCATTTATGAGATGAGCTCCAGTTCATGAGCAATGCAATCGCGCTGGCGCTTCCACGTCATGATTATATTGTCTGCTATATTTGCTTCTTATTTATTAAAAGCCAGGCAATTGGTTGATGAAACTATTATTAAAATTAAAATACAATTTATACAAAACGAAATTCACTTCAAAGAAAGGCTTTTTTTAAAACAAAACTTAATGAAGTGGTCAACTCATGTGTGACCCACATGTCTCCCGATATATTGTGGCATCTTGCAGTTGCGACATATCCCTCGCTAACATGCATAAGGGAGATGTGTAATGGATAAAAATAATTCAAAAAATAAAAGAGGACTTGAATAAGTCCGTTAATGGCATGTTTAAGTCATGCTCTTACCGAATGTTTTATTTCCTCTTTCCATATTGTGAATAATAAATGTTCATCATTTTAATTCGCTTATTACACCATGGAGCCTAACTTATTGTAATAATTATTTGACGTATAGCCTACTTTTATACACAGAATTATTCCTTGGCATCCTTTCATGTACTAAACTGTATTTTTTAGTTTTATTATTGTTTACGTGCTGAAGGTAAGTTACAGGTCAGGTGCAGCCAGAGCCGGATTATCCATAAGGGCACTTGGGCAAGTGCCCAGGGGCACCAACCATTCACAACCACTAGGGGGGCACCACATGACACAAGCTTTAAAAATATTTTTTGTAAATTGTTATATTATTAACTTGAAATTCTTGAAAAACTATACATAACTCGTTTATGAACACTAATTTAACAATAATCATAAATGATAAATAAATAAAGATTGCATGACTACTATCACTCCCCCCCTCCCTCCCCAATCTGTCAGAGTTGGGTTGGCCCACAACAAGTACGCGCAAATGTGTAATTTTTTTAGCGGCTACAGAAAATGAATCTAAATCCAAAATGGACAGACATCAATTGAATGGTTTTGCTAAAAGAAAGTTAAAGAAAGACAAGGACGCTAAACGTTTAGCTACAATTCAAAATGTTCCAGGGATCGAGAGTTTTTTTGTGAGAACACATGGGCGTAGATTACGCGGGGGACGTGTGTTTAGCCTACCTCGAGATTTAAAATCCAAAGAGTCAAGGATAATCTATCTACATACGTGACTTTCACGTTTCCATGGTAAGTCACTCGTGCATTAGCCTACGAAACGCCCATGCTCGCACCCACGCCGAATCCATCAGTTTTGGTTTCACATCAAAACGGCAAAAAACTCTTCACTTCTTTTTCACGAAAAAGTGAAGCACTGTATGTAAGTTGTCATGTAGTATTCGAATTGTGTTGCACAATTATGAAGAACTCTGATTAATGATGAACGCCTATTTTGTTGAGTTTTGTTGTAAACTGAAAATATTCACTACCCGCACAAACATGCACTATTTTCAATCTTTCTTTTATTCGTAATGTCTTTTATTTTCACAGATATGTTATCAAAGCCCTTCAAATTAGAATAAGCATGGTGATTGTTAATGTTGAATTTGTATTTTCATGCATTAACAGCCACGATCTGCTTGAATCAGGCAGCGTTGGAACATGTGTACCCTACATGATGTTTACCATAATTCGGTAACACTTTACAATTAGATAAAAAAGTTTGTAGACAAACTTCAAGTTATTTTGAAAAAGCCTAACTAAAAGCTTGAAATTTGAAGGTTTTCAATTGGAAAGTTTTAGTTTAGTAAGACAGACTTTGTTTAGGCTATTAAGGAAATGTAATTTTGCCAAAAGAAGAACTTTTATTTTAAGTAAGTGTTATTTTTAAATCAGTCTACTTCAGTGTGATATTTAACCATATTATCGTGCTTAACAGTAACACTGATAGTTTCAATAATTGTAATGCGATGATCAGATCTAAATCAGAGAATATCATATGTTTGGGCGGTTGGCGGGTGGATTATTTATTTTTAACATCGGATTCGGGGGACTCAAAGTGCACCAGATTAATTAATTTATCTTTAAAATGTACAAAATTTTCTTCTGGGGGGGGCATGCCCCCGGACCCCCCTAGAGGTGCCGAGATACACCTACAAAAATACTGTGTGTGGGGGGGCCTTTTGAGCTATAGTGCCCAGGGGCACCACACTGTCTTAATACGGCCCTGGGTGCAGCGTGATGTTAACATTTAAGCTGGCTAATGAGAGAACATCGCACTATCAAAGAGTCTAAAGAGGAAAGTTGACAGCGACGATAAAACATATAAAGAAGAATGGAAAGACAACTATGCGTTCATCCAACCTAGTTTTGACATTCAAAAATGTTTTATGGAATGTGGCATTGCATTGCAATAGCCTACATCATTAAATGTTAAAATCGACCCTCTCTTTCTTTATTTGTATTTTGTCAAATTATTACATTATCCCCTACGGCCTACGCTGTACTTTTTACTGGTGCTTAGTGATTTTTGTGGTAGCTATGGCAGTTAACCGTTTACTTCTGGCTGCTGATGCCATTCCATCAGCAGTTGTTGCTTAAAGTCCCTAATATGAGCCGATCAGAACGTCATAATATGGAGGTGTCTTGTAATTGGTCATATACAACGTCTCCACATCACTGTTGTACACTTGTACTTTGATGTTGTTTGTGGTCTGATGTCAGTCATTTAAAAAAATGTAGGCTACACAAGCAACTAGCATAGCCAGAAAAGAGTATCTGGGTGTGCATAAGGAAAAGTGGGTTTGTCTGGCTCAATGGTGCAATTGAAGCGCAGGTTAAGGCTTGGTGTTACAGGTCTGAGGCTATTAGCTAGGCCGGATTGTTGAAAGCCCTGCAGGATCGCATTATCCCGACAGTGGAAATATTGCAATTCTGTTAAGGCCATGTCCACACTAATACGTTTTCGTTTGAAAACGTATACTTTTCTCTCCGTTTTGGCCTTCCGTCCACACTGAGACGGCGTTTTAAGTCAACGAAAACGTAGCGTTTGGAAAACGCTCTCCAAAGTGGATAGATTTGAAAACGCCGTTTTCGCGTTGTAGTGTGGACTGTGAAGCCGGAGGTATTTGAAAACGATGACGTAAGTTTAGTCATGTGATCCATGTTGTACCAATAGATATTCATGTTTACCGGTATTGTGCCTGTTAATTATGTGCGATTCACTTTTACACTGTTGCTAAAATATGTTACTTTGCACACTCTTCATATCACAGTAGCCTACTGCAAAGATGACAGAAAATGTACTCACATTTGCTGTCCTGCGGCAAAACATGAGAGCGGTTTCGTTTTAGACCAAACATATGG